TTTTTTTTTTATTTCCACTTGGACACATTAATGATACTGTATTTTTGAAAACTAAAATAAAATCCACAATTTTTGTGTCATTCAATTCTGTTCAATCTCACACCGTCTTTTGCATCACAGACTGAAATTAAAGCCATTTTTTAAACTCAGAGTGCAAGTGGAGTATATGTCCCAGAGCTAATTCTATTATTTGAAATAATAAAAATATTTATCATAGTAAAAACTAGGTTTTGTTAACTTTATCAATTTACGGTCAAATCTTGTGTTTTCATTACAGCTGCCATATTATTATGAGATAGTCACCTCTTCTTGTATGATCTGAAATTTACTGTATTAGTGTTGTTCCTACATCATCATAATAGTTAGCTAATGCCTTTAAAAACTAACACCAGCAAACCAACATGAATTACTTAAACCCACATAGCAAACAGGACTGACCCAGATTCGGCATCAGCTGCCACTTCTGACTGACTGGTGTCATGGCAGGGTGTCTGTCAACCAGATGTGGGCCAGGTCTGGCAATGATGACACTATTTATGTTCCTTTTCCTGTTTTATTTAGAAGACCCAAATGGCATGTTGCAATACTATACTGCTATGGTTGCCAATGTTTTAAATGCAGGTTTGAAAGGTTTGTGAGTGTACACTTTATCCAAAACCTAGTGAGGGTTTACTCATGTTTACCACTGGGTGGCTGTAACTCGGGAGGTAGAGCAGGTCACCTACTGATCGGAAGGTTAGTGGGTAGTAGTAAGCACTCAGTTTAGAGAAAGTGTGTGATTGGGTGAATGTGGCATGTTGTATAGAGCACTTTGAGTAATCCGGGAGAGTAGAAAAGCGCTATATAAGAATCAGTCCACTCACTGTCTGAACAGAGTTTCCTCATGTCACTTTTGCGCTATTATGTTCCAGCACATGTTGTTATTACATGGCTTGATTAAGGTACATATTAGGCTGACATCTGGGGCCAGAGCTAAAACTTATCTGAGCCAGCACAGGACCAGCAGTTTGTCTGCAACTGGCCTTTTGCTGGCCCATGTGTTGGCCACCTCTGGTAAACCAGATCTGGGCCACCAAAGGGCTGTCATTCTTTGTGGTATGTGGGCCATGTGTATGCACGTTGTGTGGGCCAGATCCAGGCCATACCAATTTTGCTATGTGGGAATTGAATAACAGCAAAGCTAACTTGAGGCCATATTCATTATACTGTATAAATTAATAAAGGGCAATTGAAACGCTTATCCCCCCACCCCACAGAACAGTGGTATTTATAAAGAAATACATTTTTGTATTTTTCACCCCACATTGCAAAGCCATAACACCACAACATCGTGATTGGTCAAATGCAATGATGAATTTGGACGAACATTATTCTGAAAATGCAGAAACAACACTTACACAATCACTCCTCTCCATATGCATTTTTTTCCCTGAGAGATGAGGCCACCCCAATGTACAAACGGCTGAACGCTCCTGACCCCTGTGCAGTCCTCATCGCAAATAACTTGGAATAAAAATGTTGTGCATGAAATATTATTAAGCACACAGCGTGGTGCGGCATCAGCCGGTGATGAGATCCACACATCCAGCTATTTTACTGCCAAAGACAAAGAGAGCGAGAGACGGGAGAGAGACGGGAGAGAGAGGGGAGAGAGAGAGAGAGAGAGAGAGAGAGGGGAGGGTTGTGCGCAGCGTTGGTGCCAATGGGCGCAGGGCTATCTAATTAAACCCCTACCACGTAATCCCAGCTACACCATCCCCCCGTTTAAATCCACTCCGCCGGCGCATACCACTTAAACACATTGCCCTCCCCTGCCGTCCTGTCCAGCCCAGGCTCCTGGAGGAGAGAAAGCTGCCACCACAGCAGCAGCACCATCACTGATGCCTGTCGCCTGCACGGTATCATGGTTTGAAGGGTTCGGCTGCTGTAGCCAGGGGCCACTAAGTCAGTCACTCAGCCTGCGCGTGTGTGGATGTGTGTGAGCGTGCACTGACAAGCAGCAGTAAGAGCACGCGACCGGTCCAGCGACGCTGTTCAGCCAGGAGCTCCGGAGAAAGTCGCACAAGAGCGAGCCGAGACGAGCATCTCTCTCTGTCCTGCAGCAGGGATACCCTCCTCACCGGCACCGACACTGCCTCGCCTATTCGGGTAAGAGGAGCGGGTCGACGTTATTGCTTCAGTTTAGCTTGCTTTTATGCCTAATGTATTCTAGGGCTAATATTCAGTTTCTGGAAAGCGGCGCAGACGCTTTTGTTTACTCGCGGAAACTGTTCGTCTTCCGGCTGCGCGGTGCTGATAAACCGCGTGAACAGACCAGTCGAGCTGAAGATATTCCCGCCTGTAGTATGTGTGTGTTTTTGACTGTTTGTGTCGACATTTCTTTAAAATAAAAGGAGGGGAAAAAACAAGGCTGTTTTTGTACAGCCAATAGGATGAAAGCAGTGTAGGTCTGCCATTTTTATGAATGATCTTCACGCGGGGTAAAAGGATGGAGGCGCGTGGCACTTCTCTGGAACTTCCCTCCCTGCTCTCAGGTCTCAGGTTTGGGCTGCACTGAAGCCTCCGGAAGAAGAGGCAACATCTTTGCCTGCTGGCTTATTTCTAGCCTGATAGTAAATGCGTTACTAGTTAACCACTGAGTGCAAAGCATTTCCGTTCAGAGGAGCCTACGTTAATCACGCTCTTTAATTGCATGATGCATTTTTGCCTAATGTGGAGTTTATAGAAATTTTAAACTAACATCTTTGTTTCTTTTGTACCAGCTGTGTATGCCTGCTTATCAAATAAGATAGTACCAACAAAGACTAGCCCAACATTTCAGGTTGTGATGTCTTTTTTTCTCTGTGAGTGAGGTTAGTTCACTGTTCACGGTTGTTAACACTTTTCCTGGGCATCCACTGTGATTATTACATATCAATACTGGACTGAGAACTGGGTGGGGTGTGCACAAGAGGGAACCAAGAAACAATGAGTGGGAAACACAAACTTTATCAAATATAAATATAAACTACTAGAAAATTGACAAGTTGGCAAGTTGTCATTGTGAAGAGACCTGCCTGCATAAATATGTATTATGAAGCATGTATGCCCTGTAACGATATGCCAGGGACATTAAAGCACAACATCCAACTCAGGGGCTAACAAAAAGCAGTAAATATGTTGGTAGAATTAAAGAAGAAAGTCATTTTGATTTAAGCACACGTTTGCAATGTGAAGGAGTGAATCAAACCAGTGTGAGGCACATGTTGAGGGAATATTGTAATGGTTTGCATCTCAAATTAGCAATAAAGAACACATTGTTAGAGATGGGCATGTCAAGTAAAATATATATTCAATATTCACTGGGAACTGTTCTTCCACTCACGCTCTAAGCCAGTGGTCCCCAACCTTTTTTGTTCCATGCACTGGTTTATGTCCAACAATATTTTCACAGACCGGCCTTTAAGGTGTCTGTATAAATACAACAAAATAAAACCAGTACCAGTACCAAAAAAAGAAGATTTATTCATAACACACGGGAAGAGACGCAGGGAAACTGAGTTAATGATAAAAAATGATTTAAAAAAAAATAACGCTAAAAACTGATAAAAACCCTGAAAACCATGACTTTCACACGTGAGCCTCAACTCTCAACAACTTACAGACCAGTACTGGTCTGTGGCCCGGGGGTTGGGGACCGCTGCTCTAAACAACTCAGGAATGACTGTTCTGGCTGATGTGTAATGTGCTAGCTTAATGGTGCAACATAACGATAAACTGGACTTCCTCTAAGTTCTGAACGCGTTCCGAAAAATATGTTTTGCTGGCTGTCGTTGTCTCTGATTGTGTTTGTTATTACCTGTTTGTACAGCAGCACAAACTATGACTGTGACAGACACTTTGCCAGTGGAATAGCTGGTAGTTAGTGGGTCATTTTTATAATTTTTGTTGTTTTGTTTAGCTTTAATGGTAAACGGTTTGTATTTGTATAGCTTTACTAAGGACCCCAAAGCGCTTTACACATTCAGTCATCCACCCATTCACACACACATTCACACACTGGTGATGGCAAGCTACATTGTAGCCACAGCTGCCCTGGGGCGCACTGACAGAGGCGAGGCTGCCGGACACTGGCGCCACCGGGCCCTCTGACCACCACCAGTAGGCAACGGGTGAAGTGTCTTGCCCAAGGACACAAGACCGAGACTGTCCAAGCCGGGGCTCGAACCGGCAACCTTCCGATTACAAGGCGAACTCCCAACTCTTGAGCCACGATCGCCCTAAACTGCATATTACATTACCACACTTGTTTGGCATTAGTAGTACACTGCATTCAACCACCCAGCAGTAAAATCAAGGAAGATATGTTGACAAGACAAAGGACAGTCATCTTAATGACTGTTTGAGTATTAGAAAATCGTGACTAACCCCAAATGTTACATTAGTTAACATTAAATAATATTATTTACAGTGATGCATTAAAGGAAGGCAGTGGAACCTTTTTTTTTCCAACATAATTTGGACTTATGGTACTTTTAACATAACATATCATTTTTGAAAGGGCAACCCCCCCCCAAGGATGGGGCTGTGACACCCCAGACTCCCTGCTTTAGGTGCACCCCTGTTTAGGACCTCTGCTCTGCTTTTTCCTGGAGATAGCACACCAGCTTCGCTGATAACACGACACATTGTCTCTGTCTTTTCTTTCCTAAATGCCACACAGCTATTGCTCGCCTTCTGTATAATCCTTTCAGATTTACCATCAGGCTTGGCACAGGGCGCAGACAAGCGAAATCTGTGCAGGCAGTCAGGAATACTTAAAGGAGCCGCATGATTGGCAGCTCATGGTGGGGGAGTGGGGGTGAAAGCCTTTGTGGTCATTCTCTAGCTGTCATTTAGGGCAGCTAATGACGAAGAGAATGATGAGAGAGACCATTTTAACATGGCCATTTTCAGCCCGACCCCAGGTTAATGGGAATGTGGAGGCACGGCCCCAACAAATTGATCCGTGTTTGGGGCTTGTGTTGTAAGGGAACCTGCTGAATTCTGTCTGAAGTGAGCAGAATTGTGCTGCTCATGTTTTTGGTGGGTAGAGGCAGCATTTAGCCTGCATCTGCTTGTCTAGTTGTTACATAAGAAGATAAATGTGCGCTGGAGCACTACTCTCTCAGTCACTTGGACTCATAAGCACCCCCGCCTGCACACACACTTCTAACTCGTGCTTGTATATACACATGAAAAGAGGTTTTAACCCTGAAGCACCTTGCAAAAGATCGATGTCGCAGTCAACGTGTATATCAATGAGGCAAGTGAGTTGCAGAGTTGAGGAAATGGCCTCATTAGTATCTCTTACTCTCTTTGGTGGTTTTTTCACGCATTGCTTCTGTGTGAATAATGCATCCCTTTCTATGTTCTACACTGCAGGCTCTCACATTATGGGAAACAATGTAGCCTTGCTCATTTATGTGACCCTGCTCTCACATAATGCCACCAGAAATTCTTGACAAGATAGATGCCCCTGACTGCTTGCATGCATGGGAATACATAAGTACGCAGCCTCAAAGTCACTTTCAATTAAGGTTACATGTGAAGGCAGGTCAGCAGGGACATTCAGACTCAGCATCTTGGAGATCTTTCTTGAAGAGACACAAGGAAATCCTGTGAATCTGTGGCGGCGACAGCTCAGGAGGTAGAGCAGGTCATCTGCATGGTTCGATACATCCAAAGTATACTCGGGTAGGATACTGAACTTTATGTTGCATTTCCGATGCAATCCTCGGAGTGTGAATGTGTGTAAAAACAAAGTGCTTGTATTAATAGGAGTGATTGAGGCGTGCTGTTTAAAATGCTTTGAGTGCTCAAGTAGGAAAGTGCTATGTAAGAACCAGTCCATTTATCATGTGACTGAGGCCGGGGAAACGTACATGTCCAAAACAGCTCCAGGCTTAAAGTTGGGTTAACTACCCCGCCCCTGCAAAAGTGTGCTGTTTGTACATCTTCCAGTAACCTGATAGATTCGAAAGGTCAGAGGATTTTTATTTATTTTTCTCTGAGGAGAACTCCAAGGCCTTTCCGGGAAAAAAAAACAATACAAAACAAAACAGTCATTATGCGAAAAGAGAAGAGAGACTTCAAATGAGTGTAAAATGGATCTGTGGTCTGTAGCATAACACAGTAATGGGTGGAAATGGAAATCGTTCAGTTTATCTTTTACAAGAGTGATATTACATTTAATTAGCAAAATGTGAGCAGTCACTTTCCCATGAACCATCATAACTGGATTTTAATGATGCTGTTAGGTACTAATGTACACAAGACTTTCTTTGTTTAAATGATTCACGGCCCTTTGAATTTCTCTTATAAGCAACTTAAATAACCTTTATAGTCAAACTGTGATTTTTCTAAATAAAATTTGAACAGGATTTTGTTGATTCGGTGACACATTGACTCAATTCATTCTGCGAAAGCAACATGATCACCTACTGTACCTAAACCACATAACTAACAAAAACAAGACATTCTTAATGCCCCAATAAGTTGGATCATCTTCGTAACGTTGGTACGCGATTGCTGTCATTGCTGCCAATACATCCACTCTCATGGATGTATTGGGGGAAACTTGGGGTTCAGTATCTTGTCTGAGGATACGTCAACATGCAGAATGAAGCAGCACGGAGTCGAGCTACCGACCTCCCGATTTGCTCTACCTTCTGTACCACAGTAGAAAATGTGGTATTCGTGGGACCACACTGCTTAAAGTGTTAAAAAGACAAAAATCTTAATTTATTTAGATGGAACCTCAAAACTGTAGCAACTGACTGTGCTGATAGTAATAATGCTAACTAACAGAAATAGTTTGATAGTAATTTCTTCATGCATGCTCAATCATCCAGGTAAGTAAATCCTCAAAAGTTGATTCTGTTCATCAGATGAACAGATTCAACTTTTTTATAGCATAAACTATAAATAGTAAATGTGTATACATTTCGCTTCAGAGATATCAACTGAAGTCGAAATGATTCCAGGCTGTACTCTCATGTAATACCACTTTGAATCACAAGGTGGCACAGCAAATCATTTTACACTCACCACCCAGTTGGTGAGTGGTTGGTGGAGGGTGGTCGCTGTTGCCAACCGATTGCAAAGAAGAGGCTGCACCAAAATCCTCT